GCATATGAAATGTGTACTAATTTATATGATTGTTACATAAGTTAGTCGCAGATGGAAATGCTTTCGGTTTCGTCTTTTATGTTTTTCAAACATGCGTCAATTTCTTGTTGAGATCTACCTCCCACCCGTAGGTCATATTTAATATTCGATGTAGTGAAAGATATCTAATTTTTTTATTTGTAACTAATAAATTATAATAGATAACAATATTGATTAATATGACTTACTCAGTTTATTATACTTTAATTCGATGGTAAACAAATATTAAGAATTTTTAGTTCAGAATAGCAAATTAATTGTTATTTAATACAACAGTTATGGGATATTAAACTAATTTTTGCAGCATCTGAAACTGTTTCAATGTGTCAGTCAGTAATAAATATTTCCCTTTTACATTCAAAAAACTCACCTGTTTATATGTTCAACTTTTACTTGAATACAATTTCGACTTTATCATTTTTGCTTTATTTAAACAATAATAAACCATGAAAATTATAAATATTAAATACAGTTAGCCAATATGGATATGCAGGTGGACAAATAAATTTTACTCTACGTTAAACTGTATTATATTATCAAATATATCGTTCACTTATATTCGAGTCTATGAGTAGAATTATATTAGATCATCAACAAGAGATCAAATTATCTTTTTTCCTTTAACATTAGACAATCGTGAGTTCGTCTTGCTTCATTCTTTCTCTAATGTATTTTTCTTTCTACCAATAGGATTATTTTAAATTACTTTTTCATTGAAATATCCATGTCAATCATTGGAATAAAAATTAAGTTAACCAAATGAAATTTACTTTGTGTAAACTTTCATAAGGAAATATTATAACATTCAGTCATAACTGAACAAGCAAGTTCACAAAATCGAATTCAAGAAAAATTGGTTTAAGTTCATAGTTTACTTTACAGAATGATTTTAGTTAGATAACCACTATTGGACATCTGTTTTGTACTTATATAAGACCACTGGAGTACTCGGAAGGTGTGACTGGCGGAGCAAAACTATTTAGGACGTAAGGCTTACCTTCCAAAGACTTTAGAAAATGGTTACATTCTGTTACAAATTGATTGGAGTTAGAAATGTAAATCATTCTATATTGGTTCGGTGATCTGAAAGTTAAGGGTTGCCCCGAAATCTGATCTGGGACCTGATATACAGTAGGATTGTCGAAGCTCAGAATAAATAAGTGTATAATAAACCTCTTATTTCGCGATTCAGTAATTACACCTTTCCTTATTATCCTTGCTTATAAAACGGTATTCGAATATGAATTTTTTGGAATAGTCTTACGATCCGCAATTTTTTGTAACTTTAATATAAGTGCGTAGAAAAATTATTACTGTCAAATGCTTAGTTATATTTTGTGGAAATAAATGTGAAAATATCATACAGAAAAATATACTATAAGATACGTAATTACAAAATTAAAAAAACTCAAAATCACAAATAAATGTTTGATCCTTCACTACCGATTACTTAGTTATTTAGGAAATAAGTCATACATCATAAGTTCATTTGAGAAAATAATTAAAAAGATGATATCCAGTTTATTTTTTGTGATTTAGATACACAAACCATGTATATATTTCTCATCTCATTGTCTTAAGCATAATTTTTATTAATCTACCATAAACTAAATAAACTGAATTTCGGTTATTTTTCTCTCACAATGACATATTACTAAGGATTATTGCTGAAAAATCTTTCATAATATTCCTTTACTTCAAGTTGATTTTACCAATTAACTAACCTCTTGAATAATTTTATGAAGTAATATAATTCAATATCGAAGGTATTAAATTGTTTATTACTACTACTAATCAAGAAAAGATACCTACCATTTTGACATTCCATAATTAAATAAAAGTTTAAGTTGATTTATAAAACTTAAGTGGGTTTTAAATGTAAATTAAAACAAACCAAATCGTAATTATACTTTTCTGTTACTATGATGAAAAGAATAAATTTTGTCAATAGTAATATAAAACACATATCAAGTTGACTAAATGTTATATTTGTATTTTTCAAGAATGATCACACTTTATTCGGTTGTATGAAGAGCTTAAATTGTTACTTTATAGTTACTTTGATTAAAAGATGATTAGTATAACACATTAATCCCCATTGAAATACTAAATAAAAATATCTTGAAGTTATGTGAACAAACAATTTATTGACTTTAAAGATTTAAGGAGATCTGGTTTCGTTTAGAAACAGTATTTATCTTAAAATGATATCTATTGAAAAAGCTGTTGATTATTTGAAAGTGTGAAATAACTAGTTTGGTATGGCTTAGTGCTTCTCGCTACTGACTGTACTAAACCCATATAAATCTTTATGGCGTAATGAGTTTACTAGTAGTAGTAATAATTATAACCATATGATTTACGCTACATTTCAGAAGACCCTTTCGATTTACATGATTCTTCACCGTTTTTTACAGCATAGTTTTGTGTGTTCAACAGAATTATATTTGTGACATCTTAATATTCTTGAAAGTTTGACGGTTTCTCGCAATGTATGTTTTGACTCAACATGAATTCATTTGCCAAACATATTTGTTGGCAAAATTACAATAACAAGATACCCAAAACGTAGGAGCTAACATTTTGTGACCAAAATAAATTACAGAAGATATCATCTTTCAATAATCTTCAAACACTGGTGTCATAGAATCATTGTACACATTAGTGTCAGAATGATAACCAGTCTTCTTTACGTTTAGGTAATTATTCTTTATTTATTAACGACAGAAATCCAAATTGGCTTATTTAGAATTTTTGACAATCACTTAATTGTATAAATCAAAGCAATATTCTAATCTATAATAAACAATATGAGTTTTCTAAATAACCACCCTTCTGTAGAAAATTTTTGTTCGAATACTATAACATTGTTCTGAAGAAATTTCATGCGGATTTCTGTTTTCGCTTCACGCTAAACATTCACACTTGAATCAAGTATAAAAAATGATTTCGTTGACTCTATCATCTGTTTATCAAAGAAGATAGACAAAAGCACTGGTTTTATACTGATCATATAATTGGTCACTTGTTCTAGCGAGGACAAATATGGCGCAGTTAGGTGAGAAGAACAAATCATATTAAATAGAGGGTGAACATAGTTTGCATTGATAAAGTTGTGATTTATTCGTTAAAACAGATATGAATAAAGACTTTAAACAAAAAACGGCGATTGATCCTTCTAAAACACTATTATACCTTGATTTCAGATGAGATTTATTGATTTATTTTATCAAAATGTTCCTGAACAGATTAAATACAATCATTTTGTGATTTAAAATTCAGGACAGTGATACTACTTTTCGCACATTTAAGATTTAGTAAACTTTACCTAGTTGTTAGATACCTTTATTCATTCCCTACAAATTAGTACTATATTAGAGAAACTAATACATTTTATTGGAGATCTGTCATCTTTACTTGAAGTTCTATATGTATTCCGGAGTATCCTTGTAGTGTATATTTCAACTAATGGACACCCAGTTACATAATGATTTCATTCAGTGATATATTAAGCTACTTGTATCCTAAAATATAAACCATTTTAATCACTTTAAAGCAAAATAACGTTCAAAATCTGCAAAACTATGAGTACCAAAAAATGTTATATGGCGGTTAATATTCATCTGCTGAGTACAAGTTTCACATCAAATCATTTGCTCAAACATATAAACATATAACAACAACTGAACTGACGTTCTGAATGAAATATTAGTCAGAGAAGTTTGGTATAAAATGATCTAAGATGCATGTGCCATTCACCCTTTAAATGAATTTGTTTCATGAAAACACTTGATGAATCTCCATTTCATAATTTATTATATGTTATAAAATCACATTTGGAGTTTTAATTCATGTTTCTCTAAAACTTGCATCCAGTCAACTGTAACAGCAAACAAAATACTAAACTTATCTAAATTTCTTAATGGTGCAGACTATTTAATTAGTTTAGATGCTAATTGAATTAGAAAGCAATAAGCTTTTAGAGAATAGCAACTTCAAACTTGTTCGTCGGTGACACAGATCATTACTATTTAAATTACTAATCAATTCTTTAAGAATTGTGAAGAGTAATATAAAAGAAAAGCAAATATTTCACTTAAAAATCACAACAGTCATTTAAACTGTAGTTAAAATAATAATAATAGTGAAATAAATATCGCTTCTCGGCTCAGTGAGCTAAGATCATTTGTAGTATAGTATGAGAGTTTAGGGTGTTGAAGCCTTGTTTAACGGAAGCGAGAGATACAAGTGCATTAAAATTCTTATTTGCGAATATTGCTCTTAAGAGCAAGAGTTTATTAGTGGCAATATGGAATCAATGTTTGTGAAATACCATGTTGTTTGTCGACTGATAACTTGAGTTTAGGCCAATAAGGTCAACAAAAGTGACGCAATCACACGTATGTTGCTTGAAGTCCAAGTCCTTTCAATCGGGATCATAGTTCGCACTCATTTACAGCATTTTCAAAACAATCTTCAAAGCTGTATGTGTGACGTTAAAAAATGTCAGTGCTTTAGCATTTAGTATTCCATACTAAACCAGGAAACTTACGACCTGTCAGATTCATTCGGAATAATTTACATCAAATATCAATATATTTAGTTTGACAGTGAACTGTCGCTAACACGTAGCTTTGAGTACTTGAAATATTCGTGAAATCTCTCTCACTGTGTAGAAGCTAACTAGTATATTTGCGTTAAACTATTGAAGGTTCTAATCTCCAGATTTTTAGATTAAATATTTCCTACTATTACGATGTTTGTGGTTTGAATACCGCTAATAACAGTCAGCCTCATAAAATGTACTCGTTTTGAAGCAACTTTTTAATATTTATCTGTTTTTAAAAGTGCTTTATAAATAAATTATCTGATACATATTTTACCAAGTCAACTTTCATATTGATTAGAACACCAAACAATCTGTAATATCTTTCTGTGATAATTAATTTTATATTATCCAGCTAGTTGCTCATGATCCGGACAGTACATCCAAACTGACATATTCAATGGCTTCTTCATTAGAATATCAAGTGATGTCAAATACATTCCATATTGAAGCTGATGGACATGTTAGATTGCGTAGTAGTTTAGATTATGAGTTACGTCATATTTATTCAATACCAGTTGAAGTTACTGATGGAGAATTTTCTGCTCGTACTACTTTAAATGTTCAAGTAGTAGATGTTAATGATGAACCACCAGCATTTGAATTAAATCCAAAGCAATTAATCGCTGATGAAAATTCTCCACCTGGAAAATTAATTGGACGAGTAAGTATTTCTTTATCCTATATAAACTATTATTTAGCTTATATTACTAATTATAAAAATAATACTATAAGTTGATCAATAGTTCAAGTGTATTAGGATTGCTATTAGATAATGACAACTATTGTATAAAATGCCGGAAAGTTTTGGATATTCAATGAACTAGGTATTATGTATTGAACAGTTTGATATTAGACACAAATATCTATTTTCTCTGTTGCACATTTAATGACTGTTTAGTTATTTTGTGATCGTGAATAAAAGTTGTTCTCAAATAACACAGATATGTAGTCAGTCATCAGACTTCGATGAAAATATAACATTGAGTGTATTAGTAATATTTTACAAAGTGAGAGGACAGTTTGAACCATCTGCCTTTTGTAGATTTGTGTGAGGGCTCATAATACTGGTATGACCTTATATGTACGAGATGTTCAGTTGCATTCTAGTATGTCATTTTGATGAATGCAGACTCGAAATGGAAAAAGTAAATTAGTTCACACAAGAGAAATACATTTTGCGATGCATGTAAGTAGCAGACTAATATTTTTTGGAATTTCCATTCACTAAATGAAGACTTATACACTCATCAAAACGTTTAGTTTAGGGAATACGATTATATGTATTTAAATGCCATAAAAACAACTTAAAGTGATGATATCATGCAATTGTCTATTGGACGCTGATTTTCAACCTGATATTGTGGCTTACAATTTGTGGTCAAACAGCCTTTTAAGTTACTTTGTACAATCAGACGATTTATTTTTATCGCTTTGATTTAGTATATAAAATGTTTCCTGTCACAAACTTCAAATTTTAGGTGAGAATACGTGATCCTGATAGTCCTAGTGTAAATGGACTTGTAGAATGTTCAGAGCCACCAGGATTGGTCCGCCGTCAGGCACTTCATTTCTTACCCGATCCAACTGTCAATCCAAGTGCAGAAGTTTACGATTTGACTACCCGGATAGTGCTTGACAGAGAAGATCCTGAGAATCCTATACCAGGTCATCTAATCATATATTTAATTTGTTCAGATGGTGCTTCAAGAGCTGGTGGAATGATATCACAAAACTCTGATAATAAAGTACGTTTAACATCAACTATGACAGCAACCTTATCTATACGAGATGTAAATGATCATAAGCCAATTTTTGAACAGTCTATTTATCATATGTCAATCCAAGAAAATAATCCTATTGGTGAAAAAGTTGTTCAAGTAAGTAAAATAATATGGGAGTTTTTCTCACATAATCATTTGTTTATTTTTTATCTGTTATTAGTTCTGTAGATAGATAATAATATTTATCAAAACAACCAGAGACTATTCTCTACATAACCTGTTATGAGAAAAAACTTCTCCTTCATTAGTAAATGAGATTAAAACGTGATCCCTATAATTAATTCCAATAATTTGTAGTTTTAAAAAAGGCGTACTTTTCTCAGATTAACTTATTTACCATCGACCTAGATATAAAGTTAAATCTTAGAATCTCAAAAAGTATCCTCTAATATTCTCAGTCGAAACGTAGATAGATGAACGAGCGCCATTAGTTTTTATGTATAATAATTTTAAAATTCAAAAAATCAATTAATCTACTCCTGTCTCATTTACTACAACTTTTCATATCATTTTCATGATATGTTATTCTGTAGGAATTCTGTCAAAAATTAATGCAAAATGTAAAATAACTAGGATTACTGATCATTTATACTACTTATCAATGCTAATACAAGTAGTTTCCCCATATAGTATTACATTCACTAGACAAACATATATGATCATACACAAAGCTTATAATTATGTAATAGGAGACATCGGTATAAGTACAAAGCAAGATTCAAGCTTTTAGGTCTTATGTGATTTGCTGGGACAAAAATGAAACTTATCTCTAGGAGAAGCATTCATCTTTGTGATTCGGTTTTAAAGTAATAATTCAATAGTTTTGAAATGATCGAAATTTGTAGCTCATAGAAATTATTCAATATCTGTTTGATGTAAAATGGTTAACATACGCTCGATGCTATCGTATAAGCATTCCAAAAAGTAACTTTCTGTTCTTTACGCTACAACATCTTGGGTGAATTCACTATAGTTCATGACTGAGAGTCGTTATATCAGATATCACGTGGTCGAAGGCGGTCGATATGAAGCCTTAAATTTCAATTTCTCGAAAGTTGTTAAATGCTAGGAAGCTATATCTGTGACCTTCGTGGAGCTGATACAATCCGTCTAATGAGAAAATGAAATGCCCATTATCACCAAGAAGTTATTATTGGGCTTTTGAGATTTCAAGTAACCACGTGCAAATATTTCTTGCTGATAAATACCATTTAACATGTAATCTATGTTCGAGCCCTCCCGTAGATTATCTCCAACCGGGTAGTGCCAAAACATTATCTACTTGACTTCTGGTCACTTAGTTTACTGGTTGGAATTGAAATTGTTAGATATAATTTGATCAGACATGCAGGATGTTGATATCCCGAAAAATTCAAGCTTTCTTATCTACCATAATATAATCTTATTGAATTACAGTTTGACTAATTTCAGATGTAAGTTTATTTATTCTGATTTACCGCTATTAAAATCATTACTCACATAAGAAGAATAATTTTATATCTTTATTCTTGAAAGATTAGAGCTCATGATTCAGATGAAGGAGAAAATGCTAGAATCACCTATTCTCTATTGGATAGAGCTAACTTCAAAGTGGATTCTTTAACAGGTTGGATTACTCCAAATGTTATGTTTGATCGTGAAACACGTGATTCATATCAAGTAAGTTAGTTAATTAGAAATACAATGTTTAATTTGGCTTACAATTAAATTTTCACAATGAAAGGGGGATTCGATATGGTTGAAAAAAACCTAATTAAATTCATATATCGATAAAAAAGTTTACTGTACTGACTAAATAACATAAAATAATAATAGAAGTTAATATTTGATATATTTGACGAAATTCCTTGCTCCAATCAATATGTATTAAAAGAGACAATCTTGGATATATCCTAGTTTATGAATTTAAACTTTCTAACCACTAACTGACTTTATTCTATAAAGCTAATATTAATTTTAGTCAAATTTAGATATTTCCTTTTGCAGATCTAACTTAATAATTACATGCTACTGAATAAGTTGTTTGTAAAGTAGTATTAATTTTATCACAGTTGAGAAATTTTACTGTATACAGATCAATTCGGTTATTACATAGGCAGTATGTATAATGTGATTAAGAATGAAGCCCTACTTATATGTTACCACAAGTTTTTTTGTAGTAACCCCGTTGTAACTATGAGGTTAACTTCTCAGTTTTATCTAACCAAACCATATAAACACTGACAGACCATCATACCTTTAACCGCATTTTATTTCATTAGTTTGTAAATATTGTATTCAATCATAAAATGATGTATAGTATTGGATAATAATGACTGTCATTTGAACAAGGAAATACGTAGAAATATCCTAAAATAGTATCATGATTACTTTAAGCCATTGTATATGATACTATGTGAAGTGATGATTCAACATCGAACCACCTATTTTGGTTTGGGCAACTGAGTAGTACCAATAATCTAGACACTTGGAGTGTAGTTCAAAGTCAAGTACACAAATCTAAAACCTGGTAATCAGCTAAGCGGATTTAGAATATAACATTGAAAATCAATAATCCAATCTCAATATCTCTGTAAAACTGAAGAGAGAGAGGTTTTGGTTCACTAACTACAAAGTACACTGGATGTTTCAATTATGCTACTGCGAAAATTTCAAGTTTCATATCTTTCATCAGTTGTTCTGTTGACCCTGATTTAAGTTTTGCACTAGATATTAGGGATAGAGAGCTCTATATGTGACCATAATTTCCTGAAAAAGTTTTACTTTAAAGTGATAAACATAATAATGACCCTATTCAAGTAAGTAAGGACTTCTGAATCTAAATTTTTGCAAACAAGCAACTTAATCGATTTTTTGACTGTGAAGACTAGAAAATAGTATAATAGTTTTTACAATGGTAATTACTTATCATTTATCTTCAAACGTGAATATTTCAAATTTTTCACTGTTATGGGAGAATAGATATTGTAGAGCACTTAAATTACACTGCACATTTGTGAATTTCAATGCACTCAAGTGACGTCACATCAACAGTAAATAAAGAAGATATTTTGGCAATGATAGTATCTTCGTTTGAGTTTTGCACTATGTAACATTGTAACAATATACAGACTTCAGAGAAAAATGAAATTAATAGAAATTAGTTTTTTTAGGATTTATCCGAAACTGTAAAAACCTACTGCAGCATTTTCATAGCAGACCATGCTTGTCAATGAAAAACCATACAGTCCAGTTGTATGAAATACTGTTACCAATTATCGACCAGTGATAATCCCTGATTTCGGTTACTGCATTGTATAATGCAATTAGCCTTAACTGCTTCAGTCTTTAAATACTCTACACGCGCCACAACTTTGCATTAAAACTTTGAACAAACTATCATGAATATATAAATATACTACCAGAGAGTACATCATTATTATTTACTTATACATATTTCAGTTATGTGTATTTTGTGTGTTGTTAGTGACTTTTTGTAGGGGAGTCCCTTACTGATATGAAATATCGTTTCATATCTCTTTAACGCTTCTGCAACATTTTCTTAGTCATAACTAATTCATGTTTTGTAACCAAAAAAACCATTCTTTAGAGAAAAAAAATAACATCCTTATCATTATTGTTGAACATAAATCAAAAACTTCATTTTAAAATTTAGAAAAAATTCAATCAACATGTGAAATGTTGTTAAAAGAAATTGACAATTTAATTAATTTTTAAGAGATATTTATTATCTTTACTAAATAACTCATTATATTTCATTTCTATCCGTTAAAATAAACAAGATTCGTGTTTTATTATTTTGTTTCTACATGTAGTTTTTTTTGGGACAATTTTTCTTTGTAAGTTCATCAACTAAACAGAGCGACAACTGGTATATTTCATGTAAAGTAATAACAATTAGTTCATCTATGATGTATAGTTTTACCCAGTGTACAATTAAAGAAATTGTAAAATACTAATTAGTCAATAAACAAATTAGTTGAACAGAGTTCAATGGTCAGAAAAAAAATTGAAGAAAAAGTTTTTCTTTACACTGTTAATGTTCACTCGGAAGACATTTTAACAAACTTTGATGAGCTAACTAACCCACGGTAGATTTAGAATGTTAGGATGTTAATTTAAGCGTTAATTATAAAGAGAGTAAGTTCACAGATACCTATAGTTGCCAACCGAGGACCTTAAACATGAAAGTGTAATTCATAATTTTCTTTTTGTTCAGATTAAATTATGTTCTGGTCATTATAGAGTTTGAATAATTTTTTTTTGTCATAAAACGTCCTCTGACTTAATATTAAACTCATACAGAATGCCACGTATTCCAAAGAAACATAGATGATACTGTTACTTTTTGAACTTATTTGACAACTTAAACCCCAAGGTGTCGAAGTGTTATTATTATACTTTTTCCAAACAATCTGAATGAAGTTCGGTATTATTAAGATGTGTTTGTGGTAGCAGTGACCCTATGAGTGGATACACACATTACGAAATAGCTTTGATTAAACAGTTATCAGAAAAACTAGCTTCAAGAAGAATTTTTGAATTTGAAGAAAGAATTTGTAAACAACACAGTTCGAAATGTAGTGATTTAAAGCAATATTGTCGGCGACATCGAGTTTACTGAATTCGAAACTTGGACTACTGGAAACAGTGGCAAGCGGTTCAGAATGAAGACTGGATTTCTGGGTTTGAACACAGGGTGCTTCTTATTACCTATTTAGAATAAAACAACTTTCCACATATTCCTTGTTGTCTGATAAGCTAAAACTAGATTGTAATGTAAATCGTATATAAAACAATAGCGATATTGTAGTACTTTATTTGTTGACTGCATTTTCTATCTTTTATTGAATCATTTTAACTCATAAACAAGTGTACATTGTAAACTTCACTGAATAATACTTTACCGCTGTAAAGCGAAGCATTAACTTTCGTTTATGAATTGTAAGTTATTACAAAAATGCAATCTTTCTGGTTAGTGCAAACGACTATCACTGGTAGACAAATAGACTTCTAACATTCAGATTCAGATGGCTATATGAAAATACTTTACATCAAAAATAATCATCAATAATCAGGAGATTACGAAAGAATTTTTTTTCATATCAGTTTTCTATTATTATTATTAATTAGAAAACTAATATTCAATACACTTTACTTCTCGGTACTTTATTAATTCATACTTCAAAATTTTGTAGCCATAACTAATATGGCCAATATTTGAATTCTCAATATAAGTGTACAAAATTAGTTATCCATTTTGTTGTTTATTTGTGTAATTTTATTCATACATGTGTAAATATCATCGATGTGTGTGTGCATGTTTGATTCATATGAATAAAAAAAAATAAAAAAACACCTCTGTGCTATCAAGAAAAACAAAACCACAGTTGCTATGTTGTATTAAATACTTCAAATATTATTTTTAGGTGTAAAAAAAAATAATTTACGATTTATTGTTTGTTTTACCAACGTGTTGTTGTTATTTTTTGTATTTATTTAGACGTAGATGCATAGTTAGACTCTAGTCACTATTTTGATTATTCTACTTATATCTTTAACTGTAAACATTGTGAAGTGTGTATGGTGTTAAAATCATATTGTTAGCAATATATATATTATATACATATTTTTTTATGATTTATAGAAAGAAAAAAAACAGTGACATCTACTTCCGATTTAGAATGCTACTGATATTACGTCATAATCTGAAATAAAGTTGTTTTTTTTTTCAGTCACGGACATGCCTAGTACAAAAAATAAAAAGGAATTCTGTCATTGTTTAGTGAATAGACTATTGATTGGTGCGTAAGATAGTTAGTTGTTAAGTGAATGAACTCGATTCTTATCATTGAAAACGAATAATTCAATTTATCTGACAGAAAGTTGTACAATCAGAGTGATGAAAGTTTAAATGAATTAGAAGTCATCATTATTAAGTGATCATTCTCTTATCCTTAATAGATTGGTGTTCATTGTGTTCTTGAATAGTTTTTAACTACGAAAAATAATATTTTGGGGCAAAGTTTTGGAGGTTTGTGTTTTTACATATTTGAAATCATCAATCAATCATTGTTAGACCACCGTTAGAAACCTGGAAGCACTGGACCAAAGACAAATGGGTGAGGTCGCGCAAAATCCCTAGATCAATCAGAGTTAGATATTAACACTGTTAGATGCCGGCCCAGTGGTCCAATGGTTAGGCGTTCCGAAGGTCCCGTGTTCGGATCCTGTGAGGAGCAGGAGTCGTGGATGCGCACTGCTGATGAGTCCCATACCAGGACGAAACGGCCGTCCAGTGCTTCCAGGTTTCTAATGGTGGTCTAACAATGATTGATTGATGATTTCAGATGTGTAAAAATAATATTCACCGCAAATATGACAGCTGTTGGAAAAAGTTACAAAAATCAAGAGATACTGAATGATTTTTCCTTAGCTTATGGTCTACCATCAATACATAATGACAACTTTCTAGTGAATTGAATAAAGAACATTTAAGTTTGCCAGTGAGAACAGTATCTTTAGTAGACCAATCCAATACTGCACACTTTTAGCTCCATTTAATTTTTAAGCAATTAAGATTTGTATCTAAATTCACTGATTGGTTATCATATCACTTTCAAAAAGATTAGAGGCATTGATGAAAATCTCTCCCAAAGACTTGATGAAGTACAGCTTGAAATTAGAGGCTAAAAAGCTAACAATTGTTCTAAATTAAACTTATGCAAATAGGGTAAACTTAACCCACATATTGGTCATGATTATGAAACAGATTATATATATATATATATTGATAAGAAATTTGAATTAACACTATCGACAGGACTTAGTGAATTCTCTCTTCAAGTTATAGGTTTAATAATCCACAGTTGGAGCAGGAGGTAGTTACTTCTTCAACCAAGTGACTTAAGATTTATAATATTTTGTAAACAATAATTACAGATATTAGTTGAGGTATTTCAGGAAATTTCGATGATTAACAAATAAAAGACGTTTGGAATTTAGGCATGTTTATGTATTCGGTCACAAAGAAAAGACATTGTGGTATACCGTACCAAAATTACAAATAAACAAAACCTTTACTGTAATCACGGTTGTTTCTATTTTAGGTTACAGCGATTGCATTAGATCACGGAAAACCTCGATTATCTTCATCGGTTTTAATCAATATAACTGTATTAGATGTCAACGACCACAGTCCAGTCCTAGCATCTTATGAAGTTGATGAATCTCTTTTAAAAACCAATGATCTACCTATGGGGCGTATGGGTCTCAAAAATTTATTTATAGTGAGAGAAAATATGCCAGTCAATACATATATGGGCAACATACTAGCATCTGATAAAGATGAAGGATCGAATGCTGAATTGAGATTCATGCTATTTCCAGATCCAATATACCGCTTACACGAAAGATTCAAACTTTTATCTAATGGTTCACTGTACACAAATGCTGAGTTGGATAGAGAGGAGAAGGTGAGTTTAATACTGTTTAAGTTACCTTATTAACCTACTTAATATTTTGTTAGTAGTATAAGATGTTAACATGACAAATTTACACAAAATTCAAAGTTATCTGGATAACTCATGGCTTTCAAACATAAAAAACTCATCTCAATCCCTTGGTAACAGTTGTAAGTGATTTCATTCCTCATAATGAAAAAGTGTTAATCAAGTTAAATGAAGTGTGAAGAAAACATGTAAGGGATTGATCCGCTTCCAAAAACGATATTGGTGCAGTTTTTTCTGGCACAGAAACTGTTGTGCTCTACCCTCTATCTAAATTACTAACTGATACTCCCAAAAAGCTTGGCTAGGTTAGACAGACAGACAGACAGATACAACGCAGAACTTCGTACATAAGTACATCAGTTCAGGTTGCCATACCACATCAGCACAGAGACGCAACTGTCAGTTCAAATCCAATAGTGTTAGAGATAGTAGAACTATTAGCAGTAATGGAGAAGATTGGAGAGCGAAGATATGATTCGAGAAGTATAATTCAGTGAGATAACTTTAGAAAGAGAAAGATTATGAGGAATTCAGGTTAGAATTAGAGAGAACACAAAGAATGAATGCACCTACGCCACTGCGAACGGTTTTGAGCCATGTAATTCAGGGTCTCTAACCATTGGTTACTATCGTCTCGCGGACCCCAACCAGGTAGCCTACATCTACTAACATAACTCATTCCACTTGTCATTTGGCTAGGTCACTATAAGAATATAGCACACCAAATCTAATCGGAGATTTGCCGAATCTGAATTATAGTCTTTGAAACTATTCTGTGTATATCTATATCCCAACTGAGTTGGAAAGAGACATATAGGTAGTGACTTTGGTCAGATAAATAGTTCACTTATCCTCAGTAGATCTCTTATATTCGAAATTTCCATTTATCATATGGCATTGTGACAGTATATAAACTCTTTGTTCTCTGTTATATCACCAAGTTTAATGGTTAAAATTACCATATATGTATTTGTAATAATGAATTTATTTATTTCCAGGATCATTACCGTCTTACAGTTGTTGTGAGTGATCAGTCGCCGGATGAACCACTAACAACAACCGGAACTATTGGTATTATTGTACTGGATGTAAATGACAACCAACCTCAATTTTTAAGTCCACACGGACTTTTAGTTCCCAGTACGTTGAATGCTATTTTTTATCAAAGTAATTTTCATAAATAATAGTTCCATACCAAAGTCAGACATAGATATAAAAAGAAATCTTAACAGTTAGCCTAATATTTTTAAGTGCTAATTTACTGAAATATGTGATATACTTAGTCACATAGATATGGTTGAAGGTTAACCGTAATTCAAAATAATCCATGACTGAATAATCACGATGTTAATTAAAGATATTCAAATAAGTCAAGTTGTTCTACACTGTTTGTCATTTAATGAGAGTATATTGTTTAACAGACTTCATTGTTTCTTATATCATGCTCTGATAAGCTGTGATCAAATTCTACTCCACAGTACTACTTGGAAAATGTAATTGCAAATAAATTAGACTGTACTATGCATTTCATTGACCTCAAATAAAAGTTACACACCTAATTACTCACACATTTCTCTCATTGATTACTTTTTCCGTCTGCAATACTACATAAATATAAGGACATTCATGGTTTACCACAGAATTTGGACCTCTCGAAACGCCTTCAAATATTTCGAAATATGACATACAATAGTTGTGATAAGGACATTTGATAAACGTAAATTTGAGACAGGCTCGGACTATGATTGCATCGAATTTTATAACATGTAGTTTGATAATTATTAGAGAGGTTGGAAGAAATAGAGTTTAAACTATCTAAAATTCTGGCAATCAAGAGCCAGATCCAAAACTTCAAAAGTATAAAAATCACAAACATCTTGATGTTTTTTTATTAATTCTGTTGTAATGACTACTTCTACAGCAGTTAAAGTTTGAATTAAGCTGTTAAAACTTAGAATCGATGCAAGAATATTCATTTCACTGTGATGGTTTTATAATGTAATGATTGGTAAACTTATCACAATGAGTAGTAGTTGGACTATCGAGGTGATTGAGTGTAAATCAGTAATTCACACTATTCGCTCAGTATATATGTCCACAGAAGTCAGTGGTTAGGAAGACCATGGTAGAAGGTGGGTAGTGCGTTCTCAACACTCACTACAGGTTTCTTTAAAGGTGAAAACAGGAAAATCGACATTTAGTGACTTATGTTCACATTCAACCACCTAAATAAATATTTTTGACGTGATTTTGTTAGTTTCTTTTCCACAAGGCACTTATTAGTTTAGAAATTAATAATTTACTGAGATAAGTAAGCATTTAGTAGGCTTGATGGTTGGTAATTTTGTAGAAGTTATTATTTACTCGACACCTTTTTCAACTGAGACTTACTGGCACAATTATTCCATGAGCGGAACCTACACTTTTGAATACTGTTGGCATATCTTTTTCGGAATTCTACAATAGTTTAAAATTGCAGTTACCTATTCTATTTAAGTAGTGTATATGATTACAGTTTATTAATATTTAGTAAGGTTAGTAAAATTAAGGTATGGATAATTTCTGAAAACGCCAGAAAAACTTGGAAATGTTATTTCTATCAACCTATTCTAACTGGTTATTTATTTCGAAGACACTTCCGTATATCTTTGCATTTCTTTTCATGCCCAGATAACACACAACTCAGTGAATACAAACGAAATATAAATAAAGGCGCCATACTTTATGATCAACCTTCGGAAGATCACAACCATAATGTAATCAAGGGCAATCAAAAGCGTAGTGATCCAGAATATCAAAGCCTTACATCAAGTGTATTCAATTCGCTCACAGATACAAATGTACAATCTGTGTTTCCTGAACCAGTAGTCCGCTTATCCGTATACGAAAAACCTGATCAAGTGATAAGCAAACTGTATGCTGAAGATCCGGATGCTGGGGAAAATGGAGCTGTATTTTATTTACTTGAAGAATTTTATGATTTATCAGTGGATAAGATCAGACCAAATCCTTTGATTAGGGTTCAGCCAGAAACGGGTGAATTAATATTACTACGTCATATGGCACCAATTGATTTAGGATATCACTTTTTTAAAGTAACCGCCTCTGATCGCGGTCATCCTCAAATGAAAATAGATCAAAAGGTAACTCATAAATATTACATTAATAAAGTTAATTGATTGTCAATTACATACGGTGATAATTATAATAATTTATTATTTCCTAATTTATTTCAGATTCTTCCGCTACTTATTGAAGACAAGCCGGCGTCAGGCGGTTTGGGACAAAGTTCATTATCATCTAGTTATTATATGAGTAATATAACTGGGCTTGGACTTGACGAATGGGGTCCAAGCAGTGGCAAAAATATTCTAATCATCACTGCTTTATCTGTTGTTTCAGGAATTCTAGCAGCTATACTAATTTCAGCTGTTTTTTGTGTAACTAAACCATGTTCACGAAACCGTCATGGAACTAGATGCGTCAATGGAAGACAAGATAGATCAAGAAGTCGACCACCAACGTACCCGGGAGGTCCGGATTCAAATAACGGAATATTAATGGGCGAAAATGGGGCTTTTATTAATGGAACAGTCGAACCACGTGGTTATTCACTTACTAATGGTTCTCACCATACTACATTTCATAGACCCCCTGGTCCACTTAACGGTGATTTGTGTATGGATAATTGGTTGCATCATGTTACAAATAGTGAAGCAAATTACGGAAATATGTCATTTCCATTCCGTAGCCCTTCGAATGATTCAGGACACGACATTTCAAATGACCAACATATTCTCATAAATCCTAGGCATAATAATGAAACAGAAAACCATATGGTAAGTATACATAAGCTATGATTATTCAGCATACGAATTTGCATGTATAGCGGTGACATTACTAAAATATTTTTGGGCTTTATAAAAAAGTTTTATCATACGTAGTTAACCATTTAATTATATGATAGATATTCAATCCTGATAACTTTCAAATATATATTCATATATTTGAGTTCCAACTGAAATTAATTATTGCATTCCGGATCTAAGTCGTTTTTTTTTGACTGATTTATCCATATGATCACGGTTACGTTCATAAGAATGATGATACAATGAGTCATTTGAACAGTAAGCCAATCGCCAATCAATAAAACTATTTGTTACTGATCGGTTTAAAGTTTTCATAAAATATCGTAATTTATTGCAGCGTTCTATGAATGAAGTAATAGTTACTTATTAAGGTACTTTGTTACAACAGACTCATTTTTGAACATCTGTGTCAATGAAATCATAGAAGGCTCACTCTCAACTATGGAGATTTTTACGAGTATGTCGATGGTAAATATATTTTAGTGTAGAACTTTGACAATATTCAAAAACATAAAGCTTTTAAATGTTAATTGAATTAGTAGAGAATGTGATACCATTTACCAGTTTATTAGTTTTAGTTACAAGATATTTGATTGATAATGAAATAAAAAATACCTTACCAGCTAGAAAGTAGTTAATCATCTAATCCTATAGATTTTTAATTATGTTAAGATATTATTAACACTGTTAGATACCCGCTCAATGGGGTGTAGGAGTCGTCGATGCGCACTGCTGATAAGTCCCATACCAGCACGAAACGGTCATCCAGGGCTTCCAGGTTTCGAGTGGTGGTCTAACATTGATCGATTCATGGTTTCAAAAATGGATAAAGCTTTTGACAAAATAATTCAAACATTTTATCATTATTGAATAATGATAAATCAAATAATTGATTTGTTAGCAATCACCTTGTGTATTGTTGGACAAAAATACTACATCATTTAAAATGCACAACTATCAATAACTATTTTGATTTGCATTACTATTTTCCTATTTTCATATAAAATGAAAATCATATTTATTGATCAATACAAGAATTATGTTCAAAATGAAACACCGCAAGTTACATATGAAAACTTGGGACATTGTCAACTATATGATATTCAACATTCATCTGATTTAGCTTCGTCTAGTAAATCACTTTCATGCAGAAATAATGATCAACCTATTGCTATACGTGTTCTCAGTCCACAAATGAATACCGATGGCATTGGTGAAATGCATGATGATCAAATATTTTTACCCCGATCGAATAAACTTTCTGGTATAACAATTGGTTATTCTACTGGTTCCATGATTCCAACTTTGAATAATGCCTTATCTGCATTTAATATGAAATTGGATACAGTCAATGCTTTCTGTGTTACTAGGCCGATACCAGTAATATCTAAAATTAAATGCGATTTCAGTGAAGATCAAATGGTAAATTATTTAGAAGTAATTTATTTTAATGATTTTCATTGTGACTTTTTAACTAAGATTTCTGGCACCATGCTTGTCCTAGTTGCGAAGAGAGTTACTTGGCATTTTGAAAGGAATCGACTTCCTCACTAGAAAGTTTCGATCAGAAGCTGATGGATTAGTTAGAGTTCATTTCAGCGGTATTTTACCGCCTAATAGTCCCAGGATTATTAGTCAATATTCACTTACTTACTTACGCCTGTTACCCCCGATAGAGCATAGGCCACCAACCAGTTTTCTCCAACCAACGCTGTCCTGGGCTTCCCTCTCCAGTTCTCTCCAATGTTTGTTCATTCCTCTCATATCTTTCTCTATTTCTCGGCGTAATGTGTTCCTTGAACTTCATCTTTTCCTTTTGCCATGAGGGTTCCATGTGAGGGCTTGTCTTGTGACGCAGTTAAGTGCTTTCCGCAATGTGTGTCCTATCCACTCCCACTGCTTCTTCCTGATTTCCTCCTCCACTGGAATCTGGATTTTTCTCTCCCACAGTTCGTTGTTGCTGATCGTGTCTGGCCAACGAATCCGGAGTATTTTGCGTAGACAACTGTTAATAAACACTTGTATCTTATGGATGATGGCTTCGGTAGTTCTCCAAGTTTCTGCTCCATATAGTAGAACTGTCTTCACATTTGTATCGAAAATCGTGATTTTGGTTTTGGTTGAAAGTTGTTTGGAGTTCCAGATATTTTTCAACTGTAGAAATGCAGCCCTTGCTTTGCCAATCTGCACCCTCACATCTGAATCGGATCCACCTTGGTTGTCGATGATGCTGCCCAGATATGTAAAGGTGTTAATGTCCTCCAAGGCATCTCCATCAAGAGTGATTTGGTTGTCGTATGTTGTGTTGCATCGGAGAATTTCGCTTTTTCCCTTATGTATGTTGGGACCTACTGCTGCAGAGATTGCTGCTACACTGGTTGTCTTCTCTTGCATTTGTTGTTGTGTGTGCATTATTGGTCAATAGATCATTGAATATCTTATTGATTCAATTCTTCGACGCTTAAATTAAAATCATAACCTGGTTATAGTAAGTCATTACCATTCATTATCTTATTCAACTCCGTGTATTATTTCTTATTCTTTGTTACTTATATTAACTTTACTACGATAATGAAATGAAATAAAATGTCTTGAAATAACTATCGAATTGTTTATCCCTCTCAGAAGGTACTTTCTTGTATATATTTTTTTTGAATAGGATTCTCAGATAACAGCGAACAGTACAGCCTTACAAGAAGAAGATCGTATGAATTCAACACACTCTACAATGAATCTATCGGATACTCCTTTGGATGACAGGTCAACTAAACACCAAGGGAATCGTTTAATTACAACAGTGCCTAAGTTAGGTACATTATATAATTGTATGTCTACAAGTCACAGATCCAATTTAGGTGTTGAACAAATACTATCATTTGAAGAGCATGCATCCGATTCTGGTCGTGGTGGAAGTGAAGAAGAACTTACTGTACAAAACTCTGATTCATATAAGACAGAGACAATTATTTCAAACATGAACCCTGCAGAAGGTGATTGTTCTTTCGATGAATTCTTCAAAAAATCGAATTAAAACGTTTTATTCTACAAGATTAAGGTTTCATTTAAATTTCTTTAATTCATAATATAAGTTAATAACTGAGTTAATAAATTCAAGTCTATTCACAAAATATGATAAAATCTGTCGGCATCACTGAGAGTGTTAAGGACTTAGAATGACTGGAGATGTTTAACTGATTGCTTTTCTTAAAACAATCTTTTATGCGAAGTGCCATTGTTTTAAATCACAAAACGATCTTAGCTGGACCACTATTCAACGCATAAAAGCATCAGGTGTCTGTTTTGTTCTGCTACTATGGAACCCCTAAATAGTGTACATTCATTTCCCACCACAGGAAATTGAACCCAGGAACGTCGATGTTGAGTGCAAATTCTTAACTTATAGACCACTGACTCGGTATTAAATGGCGTTGACATCTAAAGTCAGTCAATCCACGATATTATGTGACCATCTCTGTTGTCTGTAGTGAAAAACTGGCTCGCACCAAAAATATGGTTAAATTCGACTGGTCACAGCTTTTTATTTAAAACTTCAGGAATCGTATCTTAAAGCCAGTTAGGAGTGAGGTGATTATTTTTCAGGGAGACTATAGACTATAGAGTCTTTAAAGTCTTAAGGCTAGTGCGCGAATTTAAAAGTGGAAATTCTTTCATCTCCGTGAAACCCTTTACCGTTAATTATGCTAAAATTGTTTACGAATCCCTAATGCACTGAAACACCGACTGTTTACAAAGAATGTTATTGATGTGGATTTGAATCTATAATTAAATAATCACGTTTAAGTCAAATAGACTTTTAAGAGTGCAAAACTGGAATGTTGGGTTTCTTGGTAAAATAAGTTCGTCAGTGTTTTTAAAAGCTGAATTAAATAGTATACAATGCATACTTCAGTCAGATTACACATTAAACGAATTCTTGAAAATAACAATGGATTGATCGAAGTTAGACATTAAAACCGTTTGATGCTGACTCATTGGTCAAAAGGTTAGTTGTTCGCGTGCGAGACCGAAAGCCCTGAATGCAGTTCGTGGATGCACACTGTTGATGAGTCCCATACTAGGGCGAAACTGTCATCCAATGCTTCCAAGTTTCTAACTTTGGTTTAACAATGATCGATTAATGATTTCAGTGAACTAAATATAGCTTGTAAATGATGAGAGAAATTACACTATAATGAATGACCAAATCAAGTCTTTGACTAAAGATCAATTTGTTGCACAAATGATATGAATTATTTAAAAACTGGAAAAAGTGCACTGAATGCTCAGAAGGTTGTTCAAATGTAGAAGAACAGAATAATTAAGTCAGATATACATATTTCAGTCTCATAAATGTAGAGCAGAAGAAGATAAGTTAAATCAGTCATATTGGTCCACTTTATCATGAATACAATCAACGGCTTATTGGATGTAAATCTGATTAAGGTTGGAAAAAGATTGAACATGCTGATTCGTAATACTCAACTCTACTTTTTTTCATAGAAAATCCGTATTATATGAATGCTTTTCCCATCAAGCTGTTATTTTTTTCTTTAACTAGGTATGAGTATATGGAATGAGTCCACAATTCAAAACAATGCATCACCTAACTCAAATTTAACAAATAAATCCGATGATATTAGTTTAAGTAATCCATGGTTTGAAACAGCCTACACATCAAAGAGATCAGAGCATCAAAACGAAGGTTGCTTTTATATATCAACACCATGAACTGAAGGAAAAAGGATGTTATCGAAAACAAGTTAGAATGGGTTTAGTTTGTTTCAGAAGTGTATTATATAAGCAGTTCATATGTTAAGATAAATATTAATTTATCAATAACAATAACACATGATTTTGAAAGCATTCTACAAACAGGAAAAGAACAAGGAAGTCAATGTTCAGTTATATAAAATAAAAATACCTAATTCTCTATTCCAATAGCTTCTCTATTATTTCATCTTCATCCTTTTGTATGCATTCATCTTATTGTCTTATTTTATACATTCGTGAATGTAATTTGATGTCTGCCAAAATGTATTGTATGAAAATGAATTATAGCTTCTCTTATATATGTATATATAATTTTATATATATATATATTTATGTATACTTATAATTAAATCTGTATATTTCTTAAAATGCTTAGTTATTTGTTAATCATCAAAATTTTCATGCACACTTTATTTGTCTAGAAACTTGTCACCAGGTTATGCAGTAATTGAATAATATACTTTGATTTTTTTTCCGGACAATTAACATGTAAATACATTTTCTTTTGTTTGTTTGAAAAAATACAATAAATTTTACATTCCTTCGGTGATTAGTTAAATAAAACAAAACATAAACATGTTAGATCATTACTTTTTATTTAGAAATATCAATGTGTGTTAATGATCTGCTTAACAAGTTGCAAATATTTCCAATTGTTTTTAAATACACTGTTTAATTAAATATTTCTCCACTGAAAACTAATTCAATCAAAAATGTTATGCACATTAGTGTTCTGTATTCAAGTTATTTCTTTTCCGTGAAAATGATAGCAATATTCTGTTATTTAATAAATTCAAAAGTAATAAGTACACAAAATTAGAGAACCTTTATCTATTCATTCTTGATTTAAGGGAAGCTCGATTTCAATGAGCCATTGATTACAAATGGCTGACCATTAATAAACAAAGGGTTTAAGTTGAATTATCTTTCAATAAATATAATATATTAGGAGATTTATCGAAATGAGGTTTTAGAAAAGACAGCTGTTTAGATGCGTACCAACTGATTAGTAAAAAAATGCTTATTGTGTTAAAGTTCAACATCAGTCAATCCATTGTTACTGTCACGAATTTGTTTGACGTACAATCAGGATCAAAAATACACTGAATACCAAGTATTTCATCTCTTAAAAACTCTAACAAACCTATTTCACACCGTTTGACAATTCATAATTTCAATGAAACTCAACACTCCACAATCCTTTGGTGAAATAACGTCTCTCAACGTTGAGCTATAAAATTTATACTACTTATAAGTAGTTCAAAATTACACTTAAAATTTCACGATTCACTAGGAAGTCATACCTATGAAGAAAAATAGATCCTCGACATTTTTTTTATTTAGAAACCTTGTTTAAACTTATTTAAACGTAATACTGTCTCGTACCCATTATAAACAGTCCTTTACTTGTTGGACATAACATTTTTGACTCTAGACGTAATATCAGTAACGTATTTAGAAACCTTTTGTTTTTCACATTGCTCGTAATATGATTTAATTTGTCATTAAACGAAAAGAACCTTACATTTTAGTGTGACAATAATATCTAGGGCAAAACAATCAGTCCAACACTGGATTACTAACTTCCTTATTAAATAAGATATTTTTGACCAAGACTTAAAACGTTCTTTTTTTAACTACACCACTCAAATGCTGTCATACATTTTTACAGATCCAGGCACTTATAAATTATAAACGTCAGAAGGACATTTAAACATACATAGACAAAATATCTTCAAAAAAGTCCGTGACTATTCGTAAATTATTTCTTTATCATAATAAGTTACAATTATTGAACTAATTCATTTGGACATAAGGTCAATTCATATGAAATTTGCAATACAGAATGAACAAATCCAAAAAAAATGTTTTATACTACAAACAATTAGAAAATATATATAAGAATGAAATATAGGCTTCATCATTAACAAATGTAGTAAACGGGATTCAAAATGATATTTTGATACATTTACACGTTAAATTCTGAATAACTTAAGGCAAACTCTCTTTTATAAAAATTTTCATTTATGACAAATTAGTACGTACAGTAATCAAGGCAAATAATACTGAATATTATTAACAAAATGACGAAATAAAATTTTGCATTTACTCATGTCTTATCAATATGACCTTAAATAATATCTTACCACTGTTAGATTTACATGCAGTTAAATGAATATATATGTGTATCAGTTAAATATGCTGTTAAATAAAATAAGAGAATGTAATAATAATAATAATAATAATAATAATAATAATAATTTTTATGACATTCTAAATAGATAATATACAAATCCATTGAGATTACATAACATGATATTCAGTGAAAAGGTGATAAGAATATTGATAAGAATAATAGCGGCACATTAAAAACACTAATCAACTTGGCGATGAAAGGAAGAAAACTACTGCGGCTTATCATTACATATTTTCATTGACCTTAATTTGGTTGATATCATGAATTCATCAAAATTCCTTCAAAATAACATTCCAAATAATAACAGAACTTTGTAAACCAAATCAATATTTCTTTAGATTTTCAGTATTTAGGGTATCACTGGAGTTAATGCCTCCTTCTACCCCATCCAAAACAATAGCATTTTTCCTAGATAGACCATTTTGTGCTTAGAAGGCATACCTTTTTGTGCACCATTGTGTATAGATCTAATTTTTTTTTAAAGATAGTTGAAAATAACATCTGTGAATTTATCTAGTTGCTCACGATTTATATTGAAACTAGAAAACTTCCTTAAATGTTGAATACGGTGAATGACAGATAGTTACATATCGTTTTGTTTGTTCAACAAATTATACTTAACACAACGTGATTAGTGTGATTTTTTCAATCTGTTAACAATCAAACCTACGACAGTAAATAAAGCAATAACAAAAAGTTATTTATTTTGAATACCGTTATCGTTTGAAAGGTTTTTTTTTCGATTTTAATGATATTTGCTTTATTAACGCCAAATATTTTTAAATATCAATAAATTGCAGATGTACTTTAAAGAATTTTCTTTAAATATCAATCTAGGAAAAAAAAAGAAATGAAATTTCAAATTACATAAAAATAAGAGAAAATATCTTTAAAATAACTAAATAATTGTTTTAATAAAAGTTGGATAACGAGAATCAGAAAAGCATGAAATAATGAAAAATCTAATGTCATATATTTGATTTGTTTACATTGTGATGAGTTAAATCGTTCAAATAACCTTTATTGAAAAGTACATAGTAAAACAGAAGAAACAGCATGAAAAAAACTTTGAAATGAACATTTTAACTAAAATCATAACAAGTAATGAATGATTAAAAGAAAGTTTTCAGTAAGGAAAAAATTATCTGAACAACTCTTTTATGTTCTACTATCGAGCTGTTTAACATTATGTTATCATGACTTTGTACGACATAGTTCGTTTATGTTTTGGTAACTAATATCTTTGCACAAACTTAGAATAGAAATTTCAATGAGATGCAAGTTTCTTTAAGTTACAATGAACTATGTTGGATATACAAGTGAAACCATAAAGCTTTAGCATTTCTCATAAATGTAATGAATATATATTTAACAGAGTTTGTGGAATGTTCAAATCTTATTTTTCAAAATCCAAGGCTGTGAGACACTGAAAAATTGCACAAGTTTTAAGAAAAATCTCTACACTAACCTTCTTAGTCAAGTTAATGATTGGAAACTTAATCAAAACACATCTTCAGACAAACAAAGTACAATACAAAGTACAAAAACATTATTCATACTTAAAATATGGATTATCTTAACCTATTTTAAAAACATACCAATTTTAGTTACTAAATAATTTATTCACTGAGGGTTGAAGTGATCCATTCATAAACGTTTTCTGCGTAAACCAACCAAATTAGTGTACATGTTGACAACGATTATAAATTATTATGGTTATCAGATTGGATAAATCTACAATCAGGAAACTCAAGAGAAATTCAGACCACCTGATGTTAATGCCTTGTTTGCAATTTACTAAGAAAAATAATAATCTCTCTAACCAACAAGTTCCAAACAGAATGAGATGTACGTCCAGCATTCTACTGCCAGCTACATTCTGTCTATTCTAAATATTCTGCCAGTTATATTGAAATTACTCTGGTAAGTTAAGTATCATTTTATTAGCCTGACCCAATGAAAGTTAATATCAGTAAGATTAAAGTGTAATAATATTCCCCACTCAAAATTTTATCCCTATGATTAGTGACATTCATCTAACGTACACATACTTTTCATTTTTATGATACATAAACAGTGGTGAAAAAATGTTTGGAAAATTATTTACAAAGCAAAAGTGAATAGCTCTGTTAATAGTTTAATTGCAAATGTACTCAGTCTTGTAAATTACATAATTATTTCAATCAATATTCAGCCGAAAAGTGATATTACTGGAGGACAACAGCTGTTAGTTATTAATGATTTATAAAATATTTTCTTTATGTGACTGCAGCAAATATTGATTCAAAATGGAGACACAACTTCAAAGAAGTATTCCACTCTATATTTCAGCCAACCAACAGCGTTTTGATATAACATCATCGTTAAGTTCGTTTCTGTTTGTATCATCTTAATTTACTCCCTTTTGTGTGCTACTCTAGACTACTTATTAGTATCAAGTAACCCGTTCCATTTCTGAAAATATTTGAGCATGTAGCTTACATATGTTGTCATATAATTCTTGAGTATTTACATACGCTGATAACTTTCAAATTATTCATTTTTCTAATTCCGTCTAATTCATACTTGAAACAAAGATTTTTGATTCTCGTTTATTTGTTAAATGTTTCTGTATTTTGATGTTCTTCGTTCTCTTTTTGAAATTGTTTGTCATTGTAAACATGATACACCTATTTACTGTAACATATCTTTTCGTATGTTACTGTAAGTAACTCTCAATATCAATTTAGGAAGAACAGCTGTCTGACTGAACACGAACTTAATAGATATCGTAGACTGCTCAGGAGTTGAGGTTTGTAATGTATTTGATTTAATTTCGTAATAAGATTACTGTCTTTACAGATAATTCCGCCCTTAGTTTTCCCAGATTTTTCATGTTACTTGATTAGGTACTGTGATAATTAGAATTAGTTGCAAAACAATTTTATTTCAGTAGTTACTGAATTCGTTCATATATATATGACCTTTAGCGTCAG